ATCCATGGACTTCAACGCACATGTGTGAATCAGCACTGAAAGACCATCTGTTATATACTGATTAGGTGATCATCATGATGGGTTGGTCACAAACTGCCTGTTGCTCAGGTAGAACGTTTTTTTTGTTACTGCAGAACAGGCCTGTATTTAGCATGAAAATAGAAATGACACAAATCAGCGCATCTCATTCCATTTGCGGAGCCCTGTATAAGTGGGCATATTCCTGCCTGTCTCTTTCCCCTACATGCCATGTATTTAGAGCACACAAAGACTGAAATAAACCCTACATAGTGAGAAGAATAATTGTGAGGGGGGTGTGCCCTGTATATGTCTCTCTACTTTTGTCACAGCCTGGCCATTAGGACTCGAGGTACAGTAATTGCTTGAAATCACCAGCTGCAATATAAATATCACAGAGCTGCATGTAATCAGCTTAGCTGCGTAGGAAGAGGAGATTGGAGATGAGGGAAGTCAGTGGATGAGAAAGGGAACTACAGAAGCAGTGTCATCAAATGTGAAGACTGGGGGAAGATAAGCTTCAGCTGCCTAGGCATGGAGTCAGCCTGTCACACTGTGGTCTATCTATGTATATCCATACACAATGCACAGTGGCACATTTATCTGTGTAGGATAGGGTGCAGCCAGGGTAGCCAAAACTTCACTCAAACTAATTTCCATAGATGATTCTAAATGATATTAATTAAAAAGATGTCATTGTTAAAGAGTATCAAAACCCAAAACCACAAATGTATTTTATTGCAGCTTGCTAGTGGGGTGGTTGCATTCATTTTCATTTTTTAGCGTTTTTTTTCCCTTTATATTTACCTGGTAATTCAGACAGTAACACACTTCCTATTTTAGGGTGTCTCCATACCACTGGAGGAGCAACGGAGACACCCTTGGACAACAGCATTGTCGGTCTGAGGAGAGAGTAGTGTTAGATATACCAGAACTACCAGATTTAGGTGAGCTTAACTTAACAAATCTTATACTGAACCTCAGCTAACCCTTTGTAAAGTGGTTGTAAAGGTAGAAGGTCTTTTTTCTTTTTTTTTTTTTTAACCTTGATGCATTCTCTGCAAGTGTTACTAAACCCACAACAATAAAATCAGTATTTAGCAGTTTATATTTACTAAAATAATTGCATTTCCATGTTCTGTGTAATGTGGGAGACCAGATATAGTGTAAAGTGTTACAAAGTCCACCACAGTATAATCAGTCTGTATATGCAGTAAAGCATGCTTGTTATACTGACTGTGGCGCCTAGGGGGTTAATCCTCCAACTTATGGAAAAAGGCTGTTTGCTCCTGTCTTCTCTAATACTTCCCTTCTGCAGTCCCAATCCACCTACTGATAGCACAGAGCAGTTGGAGTCACTCTGCACATGCTCAGTTTGGTGTGTATTGCTAGAGGGTTTTTTTTTTTTTGGGAGGGTGCATGTGATCAGCACTGTCCAGACAGAGGGTCAGGGGTTATGCATCCTCATAGTGAAAGACGAATGAAAACGCCTCCTACAAGCTTAAACCAGTGCTCAGTGGGACAATGATAAGTCACAAGATTGCTATGTACTGCTAATGAGAAAGGTATTTAGCAGTTTATATTTACTAAAATGATTGCATTTCCATGTACTGTGGGAGACCAGATAGAGTGAATGCAGTGTCCTGGGCTTAGTAACACTTTAAGGGAAAAAGCACCTTCTGTGTCCAGCTCTCCCCCTTATACTCACCTGAGCCCGATCTTGATCCTGCATTGTGCCGAGAGCAGCACCTCTCTCTCTCTGCTCTCTTTCTCCTATCTAGACATGGAGGCAGCAGTTGGATCCCTTGGCTTCTGCTGCTGTCAATCACAACTTGTGAGGAGAGAATGTGGGGTGGGGCACAGTGTGTCTATAAGCACAGTAGGGTATAGGATGGAGCCTGCATGAGTGCCACCATAACAAGCAGCTTGCTATGGGGGCACTAAGCAAGGGGAGGAGCCAGAACTTCAGAAAAGAAGTATCAGGGTTGTTCTGGGCAAAACCATTGCACAGAGCAGGTAAGTATGGCATGTTTGGCATTTTTAAACAAAAACATTTTGCAGTCACTTTAAGCTTTTGCAGGTTTTGTTTTACAAAATCCAGCCACCACATCTAAGATATGGCAAACTGCAAAATTCATAAATATTTTTGAGGGTTTATTACCGCTTGTATTTTTGTAATGTTTTAGACTATTTTAGATAACAGTAGAGAAGGATGTCTTAACTTCTTGTATTCAAGTTGGTAATGGATATAGCAGTGAAGTAAAACCATTTTACCTTCTTGGTAAATTCATTCATCATCAGCAATTTTGTCCACTAAAATTGTCACAATAAATTGGTTCTTGCAACAACTGTTCATTGTTTGTTTTTTTGTTTGGCTGGCTTTAACCACTTGCCCTCCTAAGGATTTACCCCCCTAATGACCAGGCCTTTTTTTTTTTTTTTTTTGCTATTCGGCGCTGCAGTATTTCAACTAGTAATTGCGCGGTCATGCAATGCTGTACCCAAACAAAATTTATGTCCTTTTTTTCACACAAATAGAGATTTCTTTCGGTGGTATTTTATCACCTGTGCCCATTTTATTTTTTGCGCTATAAACAAAAAAAACCCAAAAATTTTGAAAAAAAAAAAACTATATATAGTGAACTCAAAGTTAGTCATAAATTTAGGCCAAAATGTGTTCTGCTGCATGTTTTTGGTAACAAAAAAAATCCCAATAAGTGTATATTGATTGCTTTGTGTGAAAGTTATAGCATCTACAAACTATGGTGTAGATACTGCAGTTTGTGCCATTTTTTGCTACACAGCGCTGCACTAGTTTAACTGACAATTGCACGGTCATGCAATACTGTACATAAATGAAATGTATGTCCTTTTTTTCCACACAAATAGAGCTTTCTTTCAGTGGTATTTGATCACCTGTGCGCTTTTTATTTTCTGCGCTATAAACGAAAAAAGACCGAAAATTTTGAATAAAACCATATTTTCTCATTCCTGTTATAAAAATGTATCCAAAAAAACTTTCGTCATAAATTTAGGCTAAAAAATATATTCTACTACATGTTTTTGCTAAAAAATATCCCAATAAGTATATATTGATTGGTTTGTGTGAAAGTTATAGCGTCTACAAACTATGGTATAGATAATGGAATTTACACAGATTTTACTTTCTGACTGCCTATCATATTTCTTCAGGTGCTAAAATACCAGGACAGTGCAAACACCCGCAAATGACCCCTTTTCAGAAAGTAGACACCCTAAGCTATCTGCTGAGATGCATATTGAGTCCATGGAAGATTTATTGTTTTTCCACAAGTTTCTGGAACATGACAAAAACATTTTTTTTTTTTTACACAAAGTTGTCACTTACATGATATATTGCTCACACAAGCCATGGGTATATGTGGAATTACACCCCAAAATACATTCTGCTACTTCTACCAAGTATGGGGATACCACATGTGTGAGACTTTTTTGGTGCCTAGCCACATACAGGAGCCTGAAATTCAATGACCACTTTGAAAGCCTGAAGGTGCGCAACTTTTCACTTCCTCACTACCTATCACAGTTTTGGAGGCCCTGAAATGCCAGGATAGCACAAAACCCCCCTAGATGACCAATTTTTGGAAAGTAGACACCCCAAGGAATTTAAAAAGAGGCATGGTGAGTATTTTGCAGATCTAATTTTTTCTTACAAGGTTTTGAAATATATAAAAAAAAAGAAAAGAAAAAATACGTTTGTTGTCTTTCTTCATTTTCCAAAAACTTGTGGCAACAAATGAGATCTGCAAAATACTCACCATGCTTCTTATCAAATTCCTTGGTGTGTCTACTTTTCAAAAAGGGGTCATTTGGGGGGTTGGTGCTATCCTGGCATTTCAGGGCCTCTGAAACTGTGATAGGTAGTCAGGAAGTGTAATGAGGAAATAAAGCTCTTTAAAAGCCTGAAGATGCTTATTGGATTTTGGGGTACCCCCATACTCGCGAGAAGTATCAGAATGTATTTTGGGGAGAAATTCAACATATATCCATGGCATGTGTGAGCAATAAATCATTAAGCCCTGCTTCACATATATGCGGCCATGCAAGCCGCGTTTTGCGCGGGCACGAGAGCTCATTTATTTGAATGGACTCCCGTGCCTCGGGACATGTGTTTGAAATGTGTTCTGCGTGCTCGTTGTTAACATTTAGCATCACTTTCTTGGTTGAGAGAAAGTGAGGAAAAATCTTCCCAAATGGTACAGAGATGGCAATAAACCTTACAGAAATTCGAATCTATCCCTGTCCTATGTGAAACAAAATAGTGCATTTTAGCTAGAGAGGAGCCTTTTTTTAAATGATATAGACCAGAATGAGACCGGGTTAAAGTGGTTCTAAACCGTTGCATATACCCAGTGAAGTGACTGGCCTCAGGTGATATACAGAGATTAAATAAATTCTTCTACATAGTGTACATATTTATCTGCAGTCATCTCTTGTCTACATCTGTTCAAAGTCCAGAATTTTTAAAGCTGGTCTGAGCTGTGAGAAAAAAGGGAGCAAAGAGCTGAGATTACACTCTGCAGAGCTCAGTGAGGAGAGCTCTGAGAGCTGACTGGAGGGCAGGGACACCCCCCTCCCCATTCACACAGCCCACAGGAATAGAGCTGAGGCTGTCAATGAGCTGGAGGTCCCTCCCCTATCACCTTTTTGGTGTCAGGAAAGCTTGTCAGAAGTGATTCATGCTGATAGCAGAGGAGCAAGGCAGCAGACAGAAATGACACTTAATTGTTCTTAATTGAGACAAGTAAACACTATGGGATATGCTTTGTTCATATTTCATGTCTGAGGTTTACAACCACTTATAACATCCAGTCTTCTAGATTACATATTTGTACAGTCATATATAGAAAAGACATTAGCATTTATCAATTGATAGAAACAAGTGCATACAAAACAATACAGGTTAGACATGGTGGTATCCATAAATTAGAGATGGACTTTTAAAGTGTTACTAAACCCACAACAGTAAAATCAGTCTGTATATGCAGCCAAGCATGCTTGCTATACACACTGTGGAACCTAAGGGGTTAATCCTCCACATTGTGTAAAAAGGACATTTGATCCTGTCTTCTCTGATCCTCCCTTTTTTCTACAGTCCCCAATCCATCTCCTCATAGAACAGAGCCCTGGGGGGCAAGCTGCACAGTTTGGTGCATATTGCTAGATGGTGGTTTTTTTTCTTCAATCAGAGAAGAATGAAAATTACTCCTACAAGCTTTAACCAGTACTCTGCTGGACACTGATAGAAGTCACAAGACTGCTCTAATTGCTGATGAGAAAGGGTATTTAGCAGTTTATATTTACTAAAATAATTTCATTTCCATGTTCTGGGTACTGTGAGAAACCAGATATAGTGAATGCAGGGTTTAAGGAAAGTAACTGAACCGGATATCGTATGTACTCTCCAGCGCCTCAGGATATGCACAGCCAAAAGGCATCAACAGTGAGGCTCTTACTTTCCATTCATCATACATCAGCATCAGAGGTTGGTCATCAGCTCTGAGGAAAGGGATTCATCCCCGAAACGCGTCAGCCATTTGACCGCACTGACAGTGAGAACACCTTGCCTGCTGTTGTGGCCATTGTAATTTTTCTATGCTTTTTAGATACATGCTTCGTCTGTGAGTATGTTTTTATTATTTCACTCCTACAATAAACCTTGGCTAATGCACTAGGTGTGTGCGCCACCTGTTTTCTCTCTTTAAGGAAAGTAAAGATGGGCAGTGTGTTGGATAAGTTTATTACAGGCATATACAGTATCTCACAGAAGTGAGTACACCCCTCACATTTTTGTAAATATTTTATTCTATCTTTTCATGTGACAACACTGAAGAAATAACACTTTGCTACAATGTGACGTAGTGAGTGTACAGCTTGTATAACAGTGTAAATTTGCTGTCTACTCAAAATAACTCAACACACAGCCATTGTCTAAACCGCTGGCAACAAAAGTGAGTACACCCCTAAGTGACAATGTCCAAATTGGGCCCAATTAGCCTCAAACGGAAGGTGGAGGAGCACAAGGTCTCTAACATCCACCAGCTCTGTGATGTCGTCATGGAGACATGGAAGAGGACTCCAGTGGCAACCTGTGAAGCTCTAGTGAACTCCATGCCCAAGAGGGTTAAGGCAGTGCTGGACTGAAATGTATTGAAATTGTACTGTCTCCCTAATATTGTAAAGCGCTGCACAAACTGTTGGCGCTATATAAATCCTGTATAATAATAATAATGGTGGCCACACAAAATATTGACACTTGGGCCCAATTTGGACATTTTCACTTAGGGGTCTACTCACTTTTGTTGCCAGTGGTTCAGACATTAATGGCTGTGTGTTGAGTTATTTTGACGGAACAGTAAATTTACACTGTTATATAAGCTGTACACTCACTACTTCACATTGTAGCAAAGTGTAATTTCTTCAGTGTTGACACATGAAAAGATAGAATAAAATATTTACAAAAGGAGTGTATTCACTTCTGTGAGATATTGTATGGTAGTCTAAAGACTCTATGTTAAGTCATCCTTCCATGGAATCCATTTGCATTTATGAAGGTTCATATTTGTCTAGCAGTATTACTGTCAGTTCCTCATTATCCATAGTCCCCATGATTTAGCTATTGTCTGTGTGGTAGCTATGCTAGATGTAAAATTTTATTTGAATTGTTCAGTTACCCTTATTAACCACTTGACCTCCTTTTGTATTATATAAATTTAAAAAGACCGATAATGTTGAAATTTTTTTTTTCAACTTTCTGTTATAAAATATATCAAATAAGAAAATCAAAAAATCTAATTTATTCAATAAATGTAGGCCACAATTATGCTACATGTCTCTGTGAATATTAGAGCTTCTAAAAACTAGGTAAATACAGTAATTTACGCAGCTATGATGCTATACTGGTACTGGCGGTGATCAGCAGGTGATAGTGGGACTGTGATAGTGAGGCAGGCAATCAGGCACTAAAAGACCCTTGCTGTGAGGTACACGAACTGATTAAAGCCAGTCATAAATTGTTTGAATCCTCTATGAGCAATATTGTACTCGATTTGATCATTGTATGACTTGGGTACAACCATCATGTTGGATTTTTAAACGCGGTTATTTATATAAATAGAAAATGGAGCCTGTTTACTTTCAGCTGCCCCATAGGACTAGCATAGGTTAGCAAGGTCCAATGGACATCTCATTCAGCTCAAATTCGTGAGGGGATCTGCTCACCTCAAATGCAGGTCAGCAAAATCACATTGACTTTTATAAGCTTATGTTGTAAAGCGCTGAACAAACTGTTGGCGCTATATAAATCCTGTATAATAATAATAATCTATAAACATAGCAGTTCAGAGACTGCATTGCACATTGTGTTGTGTTGCATCTCTTTGGGTGCACCTTCTCTTGAGTTTTTGAACTGCAAATGGAACATTTGTTTGTCAAACGCATTTTCCATTCAAACGCATGCTCTTGAATAGCAAACATAGCATTTAAAAAATGCTTGTCAACATGAGCCTCAATGCTTGAACATTATAATGTTATCATTTTAGGTATATTTGACAGGAACTGAATAATGTTCTTGAAGATGCACCAGAGGGCCTTCAAAGTGCACATTAATGCATGTGTTTTAAGAGCCTATTGTAGGTGAGGCCTTACCTGTCTTACTACAAGGAATACTACTTTACTACTTTCTTTTGTTGTCTTGCATACCGTTTTCTGATTGTGTTCACAAACAATTAAATGTTTAAAAAAAAGCTTTAATTATGCCTTAAAATAGCGCATTTGTCTTCATAATATGTTAAAATATTAGATTTTTACAGCTAAACAAAGTATAACTAGCGATAATTTTTTTTTTTTGATGGAGTGGAGAGGCATTATAACACTTGTCAGGTGTCATTGCTGTCTGTGCCCCCGTTAGGAAGCATCACCCTCAATTTTTTCTGTTTGCCATTATCACCAAGATATGAAAATAAAAAAAAAATAAATAAATTCCAAATTTTGTGTTTTCAGCAGAACAGGAATAAGAAGAAATCTTCCAATGGAGACATTAGTTCTGGAGACCCTGGTGAGAACTAGAGATTCCCTCTCATTAGAGGGATTTCCTCTCACTTCTGGTAGTAGCTATAGGACAGGAAGTAAAGGGAGATTTCCCCCATGGGACACAGCAAAAAAATACAAAAATACTGGGTTATATCCCTTCCTTACTCAATCCAAAATGGAAACATAGTTTTGCCTTTAGTTAATCTTTAGGGTAGATTTCTCATTAACTCTCTCAGGGGAATGATGACCTCTGTGGATCTTGAATATATCGGCATGAATATACACTCACCGGCCACTTTATAAGGTACACCTGTTCAATTGCTTGGTAACACAAACTACTAATCAGCCAATTGAATTGCAGCAACTCAATGCATTTAGGCATGTAGACGTGGTGAAGGCAACTTGCTGAAGTTCAAACTGAGCATTAGAAAGGGAAAGTTAAGGGATTTAAGTGACTTTGAATGTGGCATGGTTGTTGATGCCAGATGGGCTGGTCTGAGTATTTCAAAAACTGCTGATCTACTGGGATTTTCACGCACAACCATCTCTAGGGTTTACGGAAAATGGTCCGAAAAAGAGAAACTATCCGGTGAGCGGCAGTTGTGTGGGCAAAAATGCCTTGTTGATGTCAGAGGAGAATGGGCAGACTGGTTCGAGATGAAAGAAAGGAAACAGTAACTCATGTAATGTCAATATGGACCAAAATCTCTGAGGAATGCTTCCAACATCTTGTTGAATCTTTGCCACGAAGAATTAAGGCAGTTCTGAAGGCAAAAGGAGGTGAGTGGGTATTAGTCTAGAGGCTGCGATACACAGCTCAAAATTCTTCTGATAGCGACTGTATTGGCTGAAATTCGAGTTTTGGGGGCCCCTGTCAGCACCACCTGGTTCAAAAAGTCAATCATTTCATTGACATTTGTTGAAGGGGCTGTGTGGAAAATTGTTGGCCTAACAGTGACTACATCCAATCAGGTGCTGGCCCCATTCAGGTATTCTAACAGCCTTGGGCACTGGCTGTAAGAACACAATAGCAGGGTGGATAAAAATCAATGATTTTTTAAAAAAAATCAACGATCGGATTTTTTAAATTTAAATCGGATTTTTTTAAATAAAATGCTTTTTGCGGAAAATATATTACCATCCAAAGGTTATTCCATCATGAAATACAGATTCGTTTTTTAATTATGTAGAATAAGGCTGTATATGTTTAATGTTTTTGGTAAATAAATACCATCAATCCATTCACAATGTCATGCTCTTCCAGAGGTTTTTGTAAGATTATTGGGCAGTTTCTCTGCCTACAAGATACTATCACAGATGCTTGGTTTACTTTGCAGTTCTCAAAACTGAATTTGACTCAGCGGAGATCACATGCCTCTTCTTCACAGCAAACATGTTATAACATGAACAGAGTTAAGAAAAAGACCTTAATCCTAACTTCTACAAACCTATGAATACAGAATCAACCCCTTCAGTGCTAAGTTTCAAGAAGTTCAGTGAATAGAATAGAAACAATATTTTTCTGATTGGAGTGGAATAGATCTGCACAAGAAGAAAGTGAAACTAAGTGTGAGGAGGAAGGGGCTGACAGTCTAAGTTTCTTAAAATATATATATTTTGTTTAGCCAAATTAGTTAAGAAACATGGATGTTTGTTTAAGCAAATAACATATGCTGGAATGTTATTGTTTCAGTTGAATAAATCTATTTAAAATTGTTATTATTAAGGTAATGATTATTTTTCTCCTTCCTAAGTACAACAGAAAAGTTGTCCAAATATGAATGATTAACCTATTAAACTGGGGATAAAAAAACTAATATGAAAAGTTGTTATTCTAAAAATCTGCATCTACTTGCATATTAAAGTTATACCAGCAAGAATTAGTCTTTATGTAGAAAACTAGGATTTAAATCAAGCCTTACTGACTAGTGATTTATATCGTGAGTTTGATTTAAATCAAATCCACCCTGCACAATAGTCAGCAGGGGCTATTCAACCATTC